TCTATATCTATACCTATATCTATATCTATGTCTATAGAGATAGAGAGAGAGAGAGCCCCACAATCACATAATCAGGGTCTTCATTTATACACGGAGTCCTGGTGTGGCGTTAATGCTCTGGACTGCAAAATCGGTGGTTCAAGCTCACTAGTTGCTCCTTGGAAACACTATAGAATCGTTATCAGTCAGAACCAACTTGACAGCACTTAATAAAAACATGCAACATGTATACACACACATACATGTCTGTGTGGTATTTTTTCCTGATAGGAAGAAAGACTACATTAAGTGACACTGTGTGTGATGAGAAAATATTGTTTATTAAAAGTTTCCTGTGATTGAGTGGAGATGGAACCTCTCTGAGAAAATGGTTTGTGTTCCAGCAACTGATCAGAATGTGTTTAGTTAAGACTAAGAAAATGAAGCTTTATTTATCATTTAACAATCCAAGAGAAGTTATTGTCTTTCATTGAGAGTGGGAGATAGAGCCACCAGCCCCCAGTGGGGCAGAGGAGGTCAGACATTAATGCATATTCAGGTCAGAGACCAGTCCTTGTGACTATTACTGCTGTCACTCAGTGACAAGGGTGGAACTACCCTGAGAGCTAAAAGGCTACAACCTTTCTTTTCCCTTGTGGAACAATCCAGTTTAAAAACCCTAAGTGTGTCTCCCTTTGAAGGTTTCTGACGGTTTACCCCCATTAAGGTGAAAAATAAATTGGATTTAGTTCTTGTTCTCCTTTTGCAAATAAATTCTTTCTTGATAAATAGGGTTTCTGGGCCACAAATTTAGTGTAAAGTTAGGAACTTGCCCTCTGTGGGTCTCTAGCGATTCATGCTTCCCTGTGTCTATTTGGCTGTCTCTCCAATATAACTCATTAAGTATTCACTCCTTATTGATCACATATTTTCTGAGATTTTACCACATTTTAAAAGAGTCCTGGTGCTATAATGGCCTTAAGTATTGGACTGTTAGATGAAAAGTTGGTGGTTTGATCCCACCAGCCACTCCTTAGGAGAAAGATGAGGCAGTCAGCTTCTGTAAGGACTTACAGTCTCAGAAACCCTATCAATTAGTTCTACTTCATTCTATAGGGGTCTCTGCCCATTAGAATTGACTCAGCTGCAGTGGGTTTGTTGTTTTTGTAGTATGTTTTAGGTTCTGGGTATATAAGGCCAACAAAACAGACAAAGCCCCTGCCCTCAAGGAGCTTTCCTTTCAGAGTTTGACTTTGACTCCCTTGGCTATTCTGTTTGCTAGCTGTGTACCTTGGGAGCAAGTTACTTCAGCACTATTTGCACAATTTTTCTCGGTACACAATAGGGATAATATTAGTACTTAACTGGTCTTTGTAAGGAAAACATGAGATAATCGGTGTAAAGCATTTTGAAACCTGTGCATGGCTCAGCGTTAATGCTCCGTATATGCTATTGTTTTCACTGTTGTTCTTATCTCTCTGAGAGACTTATTGTCTTGTCATTGAGCTGGTGAGCTGAGAGACCACTCTCTTTGGTGCTTCTTTTCAGAACCTGGGGGAAAGCTGGACCCTGTGTGAACATGCCCAGGGCCAACAGTTGTGAGAGCAGCACACACTTATTCTGTGGTGTGCACAACTACCACCATGCCCTGCTAGGAAAATAGGGGAACTGGCACCATCTATCTTCCAAGAAGTATGTAAGCAAAAACATGTCGAATTAGTTCAAGGGATACTTTGTGAGTATACAAATCTTTGCACAGTGGCAAAGTCAAGTCTATTGCTTTTTCAAAGGACATCCTCTCCCCAATTCTATGTGTGTAATGGGGTGTCTTGAATCTTCCCTGCCTCTGCTAACCCATTTCCCAGTATTTTACAACTCTTTGATATCAGTGAAAGGCATAAAATCATTCTGAACTGTCTTATCAAATATACCAAATTCTGTTTTGGCAGTGTCCTTCTGTCCTTTGAACCTTGCAGGTGACCTTCCTGGTTTCTGACAAGAAGGATAATGAATCATCAGCTTGGGGAAACATTTGTATCTTCATACTATTGATTTTAAGAAAACACTTGCAGAAGTTTGGGAAGGCATATATTGAATGTCATTTACTCCAAAATATCACTTGTCTAATAAAAAAAAATACCATGTTTTACACATGCTTTGACATATGCTTTAATATAAAAAAAGTATTTAAAAGTCATCTTTTCAACATAGAAGAGAAACAAGTTGTATGTTTTACATTATGTTGTTTTCATAAAACTCTAAATATAGGTTACTTCTAAATGAAAGTATGTTTTTTATTTATTATCATTGTCAATTATTAATTGTATAGCAAAATTTGCTAAATGGATGATGCCTATTTTGGTGAATCAATGCCATTATGCCCTCAGTTATTTTATTTTATTTTTGTTTCTACTTCATGTACTTCACAAATCAAAGACAAGCAGTCATTCCTGTAATGATAACTTTTCTTTTTTGATACTGTGGGTGTGAAACATTGACAAAGGTTTTGCTGAGTTTATGTTGGTCATGCTTGTTTGTTTCCTTTTATTCACAGACACATTAGCTCCATCGTACCTTCCTAAAAGTTGGTTCTGGCTTCTTCTGTTTCAAAGAACAGATACATGACTTTGAATAGGTTATTTAACTCCTAAATGGCCTTTCTCTTCATTAATAAAGTAAAGTGGTTAGACTTCAAGAACTGTAAGGACCCTGAGTGGTGCAAAAATTTAAGTACTCAACTGCTGGCTGATAAGTTGGCAGTTCAAGTCCACCCTGAGGATGCTCACAAAATAGACCTGCCAATCTGCTTCTGAAATGTTACTGCCTTAAAGTAGCAGCAGTTCTACTCTGCATACAAGGGGTCACCATGAGTTGGAATCTATTTTAAAATAAAATTTAAGACATTTTCTCCATCTCTAAACCTCTTTGTATCTATTAAGACACAGTTTTGCATGGGAGTTATAATATTGGTTGTTTTATAATAAAAGTGCTAGGACTGATTACATAAATAAAGCAGAAATCAGTTTCATTTTTCTAGGGAAATAATGAAAACTACCTAAACAATAAAATGCACTTAACTCTAAAACTATGCCAACTCAAACTCAGTTTTCCTGTGGAGTCCCAGAAGGTATACTAGGTGTTCTGCAGAGATTCAGGCGGTGCTGGGAACTGTCCTTTGCTGATGCCAATGCAATGTTAGACCATAGTCCCCTGGGAACAGTTATTTTTACCTCACCAAGAAAATCCCCAAATTAACAAGCTCACGTGCCATCTGCTTCTATCTCAAAAAGTACAGAAGAACCACATAATGGTATTCAAGTTTGGTTGTCAGGATTCCGGATTAAGAAATCCTAATTTTTTTGCATTCCATAAATGGATGGTTAGACTGTCTTCAGAAAACAACTTTTTTTTTTTTTTTCTGGAGCAAAGGTGAGAGAATACAAATCTGTAGATCTGAGGGAACTAGGTTGGGGAGAGAGAGAATGACAACTAGCTAGGGACCAAAGAAGTTGCTTTGAATGAGAAGGCGCATGGCTCCTTTTAATGGGATTATATCATCATACACGTCATTTCCTTAAAAAAAAAAAAAAAAAAATTGCTCACCATCTTTTTTAAATTGCTATTACTTTTTAGACAGAAATTTTTCATTTTGAAAACCCATCCCTTCCCTCAATCTGAGATGATTTGAAAATTCTTTGTTGGGTTCTTACCTTGAAGAAGGTCATCGTTGAGCCATCTCTGACTGCCCCATATTGGATCTTGGTTTGCTTTGCTAGATCATCAGCTGAGTCTATGGGGGACTCCATTCTCTCTACTGTCAAGAAGGCAGCCAGATTGGCAGTGTAGGATGATATGATGATTAGGGTGAAAAACCACCATATCCCTCCAACTATTCTGGTCGATAGAGCTTTGGGCATCAGCTCTGATCCTGTGATGGTATCATCAGAGTAAGCATGTTAAATAGAGTCAGAGGAAATGAGAAGACTTATGGTGTGATCACAATTCTATGGAGATCACAAATTTTTAAGGCATAAAAATTATGTATCTATCAAGGTCTTAACATCGTATGCGTAGGAGGCATAAGTGCATTTTTAAGAAAATGGAAGAAAATTTAAGACTTTTAAATCAATAATCACTTCTACTTAAAATAAAATATATCAA